AGGATATCCCATCTGTTGGATCCCTTCTCTAATGCCTGACATAGGTGAGGCTGGGTCATGCCAAAGCTAGTAGCCAGGAATTCCATCTGAGCCTCTCAAGTGGATGGCATGGCCCAAGTTAGGTGAGCTACCACCTGCCATCTCCCAGAATGAACATTAGGAGGAAGCTGGAATTGAAATTAGAGCTGGGACTTGGACCTAAGCAAACCGATATGGGATGTGGGCTCTTAAGCAATGCCTTAACCATTGTGCCAAATGCCTGTACTTAGGAGTTTTAAAAACACAAATCTTGGGTATCATTCTGGAGAGTCTTAGTACTGCTAGATTCAGCTGGGTGACCCATGCACTTAAAAAGGAATAAGCAAAAGCAAAGTAAACAAAAACAAAAGCAACAGGAATCTTCCCAGAATAGTCTATTAACCATATAGAATTCAATTCTTAGTCATTATCTGACGAAGAATTGATATTCTTAAAAAAATCAACAACAAAATAATCAAACAATCCAGCTGAGAAATGGACAAAGGACTTCAACAGATAGTTCTCAAAGAAGAAATACAAATGGCCAACAACTATATGAAAAAAATGTTGAACATTGCTAGACATCAGGGAAATGCAAATCAAAACCACAATGAGATGTCATCTCACCACTGACAGAATGGCTAAAATCTAAAATACAGAGAGCAATAAATGGTGATGAGGGTGTGCGTGTGAACAAAGAGGAATGCTTATACACTGCTGATGGGAATGCATGGATAAAGAAAATGTGGTATACATAAATAACGAAGTACTACTCAGCTATAAAAAAGAATGAAATTTTACCATTTGCAGTAAAATGAACAAAACTGCAGGAAATCATGTTGATGTCCTGGCTACTGGCTTTGGCATGATCCTGTCCCAGCTGTGTCAGGCGTTTAAGGAGGGAATCCACAGATGGGATATCCCTGCTTGTCTGTTGACCTGCCTTGCTTTGCAAATAAAATTTATATATATATATTTATATATAATATATATAAATATATTTATATATATAATCAATATATATATTGGGGCAAATAATCCCCAATTCCCCAGGAGATTTTGATTTTGAAATCAATAATAAATGACATGTTTCAACATGTTTTTCTTGTTAAAATTCCTGGTAGTTTCCTATCAAATAAAGAATGATACCTCGGCCGGTGCCGCGGCTCACTAGGCTAATCCTCCGCCTTGCGGTACCAGCACACCGGGTTCTAGTCCCGGTCAGGGCGCCAGATTCTGTCCCGGTTGCCCCCCTTCCAGGCTAGCTCTCTGCTGTGGCCTGGGAGTGCAGTAGAGGATGGCCCAAGTGCTTGAGCCCTGCACCCCATGGGAGACCAGGATAAGTACCTGGCTCCTGCCATCGGATCAGCGTGGCTGGCCGTGGCGGCCGTTGGAGGGTGAATCAATGGCAAAGGAAGACCTTTCTCAAGACCTTTCTCTCTGTCTCTCTCTCTCACTGTCCACTCTGCCTGTCCAAAAAAAAAAAAAAAAAAAAAAAGAAGAAGAAAAGTTATAAAACACAATGTCATTTGAACTTGTACTGTTCAAAAAAATAAAGCTACAAAGTTTAGTTGGATGTTCATTTCAGTCCATAACTTCCTGATCCTGTTGTTTTAAAGATATCTGGCAAGGTAATTTAATGTTTTCATTTTAAAAAAAAATCCATCTGGTTGTTCTTTTATATTTAGACTGAGATTAAACGTTTTGATGAGAATTTTATAAAATGATGTTGTACTGCTTTAGTGTACCATGGTGATTCATTGAGATGTAAGTTCGTTCTATTATCCGTTATACTAACAGTTCTTTAAAGATTTATTTATTTGAAAGGCAGTTACAGAAATAAAGAGAAAACAAAAAGAGAAGTCTTTCATATGCTGGTTTACTCCCCAAATGGACCCCAAATGGCAGGAGCTGGGGTGATCTGAAGCCAGGGGCCAGGAGCTTCTTCCAGGTCTCCCCTGTGGGTGTAGGGGCCCAAGGATTTGGGCCATCTTCTCCTGCTTTTCCAGGTCACAGCAGAGAGCTGAATCTGAAGTGGAGCAGCCAGGACATGAACCAGCACCCATATGGGATGCCAGCACTGCAAGCAGCGGCTTTACACACTGTACCACAGCGCAGGCCCCACTGACAACAACTTTTACTATTAACATGATGTCTTCTGGATTTCTTCATCATAAAAGTTTCCTTGTCATTCATAAGTAATATGAGAATTGAACACAATGATTTACATTTTAAAGTGTACATTTGTTAATTCAGTGCCATTTTCTGTATTTAGAATTTGGCACTCTTTGTAAAGACTAGAATTTTCTTTATCAATATCCCTGACCTTTATTTCTGTTTGCTTTGTGTGTGCATCAACTGCGTAACAATGTGTTTTGCTTTATGGCTGAGTGGATATAACTTATTTTTTCAGACCACTATGCTTAGAATTGATCTGTTTATTGATGTTATATATGTTATATATATATATGTTATATTTGTTATATATGTCATATTGATGTTATATATGTCATAAGGAAAAAACTACACCAATATTCTCTTTGTGCTTTTAAAAATCAGCCTTTAGGGATGATCCTGAAAATGGAGTTGCTGGGTAAAGTATAAGTTAATCTGTAGATTATTAGATACTGCAAAAGTCCTCTCAGGAAGGGACTGGAGTCCCAGCAGCAGGGCATGAACGCACCTACTTTACTGCAGCCCCATCTGTGGGCTGGTGCTGTCAAGCTTCTGCATTTCTGCCAACATTTTCAATGAAAAGTGACAGCCTTGGCATAATTCTAATTTGCATTTAACTTGAGCAGTTTTGTAAGTTTCATGGTCATACATATTTTGTGAACTGTTATGGTTTTGTACATTTAAAATATTTTTCTTGAATCACATTAGTTCTTTCCATACTAGGCATATTGTTTTATTATTTTTATTGGATTTTAAAGCATTTCCCTCAATTTTCACTTATATTTTGACATAATCCAGGCTGTTCAGTTTTTAAAAATTTTAACACTACATTTATTACACATTTCTTTTATTGAATTTGATGTTTGAGGCATACTTGGGAATATGTTTTTTCCCATTTTTCGATTATAAAATAATTACACATTTTTCTGAAAGAAGATATATTTGTTTATTCGAAAGGCAGAGTGACACAGAGAGAAAGACAGAGAGCTTCCATCTAAAAGTTCACCCAGGAATTCCATCTGGGTGTCCCAAATTGGTAACAGGAACCCAGGTCTTGAGCCATTCTCTGATACCTCCCAGGTGTATGTGGGAACCAGAAATGGAAACTAAAGCAGCATTTCAGTATGTGTTGAGGGTGTCCCAAGTGGCAGCTTAGCCTGCGGTACAACACCCTGACTCCTAATCTTTTTTCCCTCTTTATTAGTACTGATATGGCTTAATTTGTTTTAATAATTATACTTTAAATTCATTTGGATTTATTTTTGTGATTTTACAAGATATTGGTTCTATTTTTGTCTCTTCAAATTTCTCCCAGATTGACCACATGTTTCTGAAAAGTCCATTTTTTTTCCACAGTGATTTGAGATGCTTTTAAATGCTATATTTTTATATGGTCTTGACTGTGTTGCTGAACTTTCTCTTTTGTTCTGATGTTTCATATATCTAATCATGTGCCACTAAACATGAGAAAAAGTCTTCATCAACTGACTGAACACCAAAAAGGAAACCTGTTGAAGTGAAATGGACACTATGGGAAACGGTGACTTGGTCAGCATAGCCCTGACTGTTAATGAACAACTTAATACATTATCCCTCTTAGTAGTTTTTTTGTCTGTTCTACTTAATATGACTGGTTTAATTCTGTAATTAATACACAGTTATTCTTAAGTGTTGAAAATTAACTGAAATGTGATCCCTGTAAAACATAAGAGTGGGAATAAGAGAGGGAAGAGATGTATAATTTGGGACATGCTCAAGCTGACTTGCCCCAAATGGTAGAGTTAGAAACATACCAGGGGATTCCAATCCAATCCCATCAAGGTGGCATGTACCAATGCCATCTCACTAGTCCAAGTGATCAATTTCAGTTCACAATTGATCATAATGAAAGGACTAAGAGTCAAAGGGAGCACATAGACAAGTCTAGTACCTGCTAACACTAACCGACAGAATAAATAAAGGGGAGAGTGATCCAACATGGGAAGTGAGATACTCAGCAGACTCATAGAATGGCAGATGTCCTAAATAGCACTCTGGCCTCAGAATCAGCCCTAAAGGCATTCGGATCTGGCTGAAAAGCCCATGAGAGTATTTCAGGCATGGAAAGCCAAGACACTCTGGCAAAAGATCTCTGTGAGTGAGATCCCAGTGGAAAGAACAGGTCTTCAAAGAAGGAGGTACCTTTCTCTGAAGGGAGGAGAGAACCTCCACTTTGACTATGACCTTGTCTAAACAAGTTAAGAATCGGAGAACTCAGAGGGCTTCCATAGCCTTGGAAACTCATGACTGGAGCATAGGGAGATTACTGATGCCATAGACAGGAGTGTCAATTGGTAAAGTCAACAACAGGAGTCACTGTGCACTTACTCCTCATGTAGGATCTCTGTCCTTAATGTGCTGTGCATTGAGATTTAATGCTATAACGAGTACTCAAACAATATATTTCACTTTGTGTTTTTATGGGGGTGCAAACTGTTGAAATCTTTACTTAATGTATACTAAACTGATCCTCTGTAAAAAAAAAAAAAATTATCAACTCCCAACTTGACTCTCACTGGGATTAAACATGACAATAGGTCTAATTATTTTTCACTTTATGTTTCTGTGTGGGAGCAAACTGTTGAAATCCTTACTTAATGTATACTAAGCTGATCTTCTGTATATTAAGATAATCGAAAATGAATCTTGATGTGAATGGAAGGGGAGAGGGAGTGGGAAAGGGGAGGGTTGTGGGTGGGAGGGACGGTATGGGGGGGAAGCCATTGTAATCCATAAATCGTACTTTGGAAATTTATATTCATTAAATAAAAGTTTAAAAAAAAAAGTCTTCATCAAACATCCAGCCACTATCAGAATTCAAGTATTTTTATTTATGTCAATCATTCAAACATCCAGAAAGAGACTGCTGGAAAGAGTAGAAAATGACACTTGTAGAAATTGTTTTCAATTCCACTTAATTGGTTTTAGCCTTTTTCAATTGTCATCTCTTTGTGTCCTATTTGTCTGTTTTGCAGGCAAGGGAGACTATTGAATGAGCCAATTATTTAATTCCTTTAGAATCTGAGTAGCATGTAGGCAGTATTTAAAAGTTCAGTATTTTCCAGGCTCATCTCTTCGAATTTATTTTTATTTTTTCCACAGTGAGAAGGCTATTTGTATTTTTGATAACATGTTTTTTTTTGTGCTTTGATATGTGTAACTTGAATAGAAAATGAAAAATTTAGCCAACCTGCATAAAATTCATGCCAAATGCTATTTCAAGGATGAAAGAAACAGGATTTTTCTCAAAGGTGAATGTTGTAGGGGTGAAAAAAATTCCACCTATCCATTCCTTAGGTCCCAGATGGATTGGGAAATTAAACTGATACAACAAAGAATAATAGGAGAAAAATACAATGCCCTAAAAAACTCTCAAGAGGAAAAGAAGCCTGGAAGAATCAGTTAGAGTCGTTACTTATCATGTCAAATTGGAATTGTGAAAATGGAGCTAAATTATGTAGGAAGGCTTAAAGATAAAAAATTATTTTATAGGGGCTGAAATTGTTGCATAGTGGGTAAAGCTGCCACACAGGTTCCTGTCCAGATGCTCCTCTTCCTATCCAGCTCTCTGCTAATGACCTGGGAAAAGCAGTAGAAAATGGCCCAAGTGCTTGATCCCCTGCCACCCATAGCTTCTACCATTGGCCTGGCCCAGCCCTGGCCATTAAGGCCATCTGGGGAGTGAATCAGCAGATAGATCTCTTTCTCTCTCTCTTTCTCTGTCTCTTTCTCTCTTCCCATATCTCTGACTTTCAAATAAATAAATAAATCTTTAAAGAATAATTTGTGACAAGGTCAGTACATACTTCTGGTTTCATGTCTCATCCTTGAGGATGTTTCTGGTAGAGGGAGAACACCTTTCACACACAGATTCCATTTTCTGTTTTTTAAGAAGCAGCAGGGAGATCAAAATGATCTTTAGGTACCTGGTGTTTTTAATATTGCAGCATAGCCTATTTTTTTTTTTTTTTGACAGGCAGAGTGGACAGTGAGAGAGAGAGAGACAGAGAGAAAGGTCTTTCTTTGCCATTGGTTCACCCTCCAATGGCTGCCACGGCCAGTGTGCTGCAGCCAGCGCACCACGCTGATCCGATAGCAGGAGCCAGGTGCTTCTCCTGGTCTCCCATGGGATGCAGGGCCCAAGGACTTGGGCCATCCTCCACTGCACTCCCGGGCAATAGCAGAGAGCTGGCCTGGAAGAGGGGCAAGTGGGACAGAATTCGGCGCCCCGACCGGGACTAGAACCCGGTGTGCCGGCGCTGCAGGTGGAGGATTAGCCTAGTGAGCTGCAGCGCCGGCTGCAGCATAGCCTATTTTAACTCTTTCTACTTACATGTTTACTGAGCAGTATATGGTGTTAAAGTATATTATTTATACACTTACCATTTCTTTAGACAAAAATACTCTTGAAATGGTTTGGCATTTTTCATAAGTGCACATGAGTCTGTGCTTGCTAATTTTTAAAAAGATTTATTTTATGAATTTTAATAGCAGAGTTACAGAGAGTGACTGCGAGGAAAGACAGAGAGAGTCCATTGGTTCACTTCCCAAATGCTGCAATGGCTGTGGCTGGGCAGAGCTGAAGGCAGGAGCCAGGAACTAATTACAGGTCTCCACATGGGTACAGGGACCCAAGCGTTTGGTCATCTCTAGCTGCTTTCCAAGATATATTAGCAGGTTGCTGGATTGGGAGGGGAGTAGCTGGGAATTTGTTTCATCCAGAGGGCCTCAGTTCTCTGATGAGCCACCTGGTTAGCAGTATCAATTCCTGGCTTCTTTGTATTCCTTGTTTGGCGTGTAAAGGGATGGAATGCACCTGTGTGGGATGCTGGCACTGCAGACGGTGGCTTCACATGCTACTCCACAATGCCAGCCCCTACTCTTGCTAATTTTAAGGGCATAGAAAATATGGTAGATTTCATTATTCCATTTTATTGTCTGGATAGTACTTTAAAATATTATAGATATTTATTGTCAATGTATTTGAAAGAGAAAGAGAGAGAAAGAGAGAAAGAGAGAGAGAGGAGAAGAGGAGAGAGAGAGAGACAGAGAAAGAAATTTTTCTACCTTCTGGTTCACTTCTCAAATGTTAGCAATAGTCAGTGCTGGGGTAGGCTGAATCCAAGAGTCCAAAGCTCAGTCTAGGTCTCCCACCTAGATGGTAGGAACCCAAGAATTTGAGCTGTAACTTGCTGCTCCCTGGATACACATTAGTAGGAAGCTTCATTGGAAGAGGATTCACCAGAACTGGAACCAGGCTCTAGGATATGGGATGCGGACATTCTGTGGGGTGACTTAAGGGCTGTGTCAATGCTTGAGCATACTGTCTTCACATTTCCATTTTACTGTTTATAAAATACTAGTGCTATCAGTGTTTCAGGTTTTTGTTTTCAATATAAAATATTCTGAGGAGGCTAATTATTAAATTCCTAATTACACAGAGACTAATTATTAAAATTATTAAAAATTGATTCATATTATGAAAACAAAATTAAATAAATTCTCCTAGACTGTTAACTTAAAAAGGAGGTCACCAAACTATTTCCTGTAAGCCAATTCCATCTCTTTGCCTATTTTTGAAAATCATGTTTTTTAGAACAAGATGAAACTCCTGGCCGTTTGTTTACCTAGTAGCTGTGGCTGCTCTGCACTGCCATGATGGAGTTGAATGGGATAAGGGAGAACAGTCCTCAAAGCCTGAAGCATTTACCATCAAGGCCTTCACCTTGACTCAGAAGACTCCACATATAGCAATCGTAAATAATAGAAAAGGATATATTTTGTCATTTATGCCACGGAACTCTGTGATTTAGTGACTTAAAATAATTTAATTTTCCCATTTTGTGGTTTTGTTTTCTGGTTTCATGTGAGCCTACTGATGAAGTCATACTCTATTGCATAACAGTCTCAGCTAGAAAGTACAAGGTAGCCACACACATGCGGGCAGTTTCATCCAGAGGGCCTCAGTTCTCTGATGAGCCACCTGGTTAGTAGTATCAATTTCTGGATTCTTTGTATTCCTTGTTCAGCATGAAAAGGGAATGAATGCAGAAACTACATGGACAGCACAATGCATATTTGTGACCCATGTTGTATTTATCATAAAGAAACACTACTCAGCACAGTACTTTGTGTACAGTTTTGTATAAATAGGAGTGGATAAAATTAAAGATCACAAGGCAGAGTTTGAAAAAGATGAAATTTACCCCACTTAGAACCTTTAATAGCAAATTTCTTGGTTTGTTTGAAATACATAGACACAGCTTCTGGCAAAAATAGCTCATTTGCTTGTTTGTTACATGTTGATCAGTGTAACATTAGAGACCACAGTCGTGTAGGTCAAAATGACTTGTGGTAAAGATGAAAATGAGAGTCCCCCGTGTGCATAGTTAAAGTTAACATGCAATATTAACAAGGCTCTCTGAAGGCTGTTAGTTCATGAAGGAATTTCCAACAGCTGAATTGTGATTTATTCTATGGGATTCGACCATCTGGTAAACAAACTTTAACAGCCCGGCCTTCGACCTTAGTCACATTGGAATGTTTCCTGTCAGACCGTGATCCATGAGTGCCTATACTGTCTACTTGAAGGGTCTCACCAGGTTAAATTGTGCACTAAAGAGACAATCACTATTGCTCCACTTCAGTCAATTTCTTTGGGGCAGACAGAATAAATATATTAACAATCGTGTATATTGAAGTATACTTTCTCCAATAGGGAAATCTCAGATAGATATAAGATAAATGAACGTAGAAAGTAGATCTAAAGAAGGAAACTACATACTTGGACCAGATAGTCTTATTATAGGGACAACTAAATTTAGACAAATAACGTTGCCATCTCTGACTAAAAATTTCAAATTCATTATTATTTTTAGCTTTGGAGTTAGTATTTGGCATATGGGATCTTTTTAAATAGTTGTCACAATATTATGTTCGATATTTCAAAGTAACTATAAGAGAAGACACTGAATATTCTCACCACAAAGAAATTATAATCATTCAAACATGGCTGTTAATTGTATTGAAGCTTTACAGCAGCTAGAATCTTATTTTCCATAATGCAGTTTAATGTTGTGATCCTTTCATTGACTCTCTGCACTTCCCAAATAACAACTGGACAAAAGATAATTTTTCATATAGAAAGGTTTGTCACAAAGGACCCACATCAATCAAACAAAACCAATATTTAATAGAAACTGTCTAAATATCACATTGTCAATGTCACATTTAGAATTTTACATTAAAAATTGCATGACAGTAAGATAGCAGTGTTTAAAAATTCTCAATCAAGACATTGTGACATTTGCTTAAGAAATTTTATTTTGTATCAAGAGTTCATTGCAAGGATATTTCAATTGTTTTATTTACCTTGTCTTCACAATAACAATAGAAATAGGTCAATATTCTCTTTTGTTAAATTAGGCTGTCAAATTCAGGTAGACTTCTAGATTATTTGAGGCACATCAAACATAAGGGAAGAGAAAATATTTTTAAGAGCATTGCAGAAGAGGCTCACTTGGCTAACCCTCCGCCTGTGGCGTCGGCACCTTGGGTTCTGGTCACAGTTGGGGTGCCAGATTCTGTCCAGGTTGCTCCTCTTCCAGGACAGCTCTCTGCTGTGGCCTGGGAAGGCAGTGGAGGATGGTCCAAGTGCTTGGGCCCTGCACCCACTTGGGAGACCAGGAGGAAGCACCTGGCTCCTGGCTTCGGATTGGCGCAGTGCACTGGCCGTAGCGGCCATTTGGGGGGTGAACCAACGGAAGGAAGACCTTTTCCCTGTCTGTCTCTCTCTCACTGTCTAAATCTGCCTGTCCAAAAAAAAAAAAAAAAAAAAAAAAAAGAAAAAGCATTGCAGAAGAGAAGCAATTAAAATATGCAGAGTGTTACCAGGCATATGACTAGTTTCTCTGAACTTGTTGTTCCATCTATACAATGTGTGCAGTAATACACACATGAAAGACCTTTTGAAAATTAAATAGGTGATGAAGGAGGCAGTGTGAATGTTGGATAAGAGCACTTGATCTGGAACCTGAAGACTTGGAGCATGTGCTCCTCTGCCACTCACTGACTTTGAGAACTTTAAACAGGGTGTAAATTTGACGTCCCAGTTCCTTCTTTTGCCTTAAGAGAGGATGATGAAAATATTATACATTGCATATATTCGTACTGAGGATTATATTAAAGAATACACGTGTGTAAAATAGCTAACCAATTCCCTGGCACATAGTAAAATATCAAGACACTCAGTTGTGTTTCTATATAGATTTCTTAACCCACTATCGGTTGTATACTGGTTTACTCACAATCTTTTCATAATTTCCCTGCAATTCACATGTATCAAACTAAAAATTAAGAATAGGGGGATAATAGCTTCATCTGGTTCCCAAGGTGATGGTTCTCAAAAGGGGACCAAAATCCATCTGCTTCTAAGGACGTTTTTCTTAATCTTTTTTATTGCGTAGAAGTATCTCAGGCCGGCGCCGCAGCTTGCTAGGCTAATCTTCCGCCTTGCGGCGCCAGCACACTGGGTTCTAGTCCCAGTCGGGGCTCCGGATTCTGTCCCGGTTGCCCCTCTTCCAGGCCAGCTCTCTGCTGTGGCCAGGGAGTGCAGTGGAGGATGGCCCAAGTGCTTGAGCCCTGCACCCCATGGGAGACCAGGAGAAGCACCTGGCTCCTGCCATGGGATCAGCGCGGTGCGCTGGCCGCAGCGTGCTGGCCGTGGCGGCCATTGGAGGGTGAACCAACGGCAAAAAGGAAGACCTTTCTCTCTGTCTCTCTGTCTCTCTCTCTCACTGTCTACTCTGCCTGTCAAAAAAAAAAAAAAAAAAGTAGTATCTCGTTTCTAAGCATAATTTTGTGCCTCAGAGTATATTTCACAATGTCTGGAAACATTTTTGTGATTCATAAGTTAAGAGTTATTTGATTTCTAGAAGGTAGCAACTAGGGATGTTGCTAAACACCAGAGAGTGCTTAGGATGGCAGCCACAGCAGAGAACCACTGTTCACGATGTCAATGGTGCTGAGGCCCAGAAAATGTTTTGAAGGAGCGTTGGCTCCTGTAACCCACTCCTTGCTAAATAGCCAAACAATTATTAAAGCTGTAAAACCACTCACGGGCTTCTTTTCTTCCAAGACTTACATCACTTAGATATACAGTTTTCTTGGTGATGTTCTTTATATTTTATGTGTATGCCAAGAAGAGTCTGTGATGCTGGAGGGGTTCTTTGCAGTTGCACAGGAGGAAATCACAAAGGCATAGAGATCAAAGAGAATTCCATGCTGTTTTCAGAAATTGAGTTTTTGAATTAAAAAAAAAAAAAAAACACAGGTTAAGCTGCCTTCTGCTGGCAATCCCTTATGGATGCTGGTTTGAGTCTTGGTTGCTCCATTTCTTATCCAGTTGCCTGCTACTGTACCTGGGAAAACTGTATATAATGATCCAAGTGCTTGAGCCTCTGCACCCAGGTGGGAGGCCCAGATGAAGGTCCTGGCTCCTGGCTTCAGCCTGGCTCAGCCATGGTTGTTGCAGCCATTTGGGGGAGTAAAGCAGCAGATGGAAAATCTTTCTCTTCTCTCTTTCTGTCTCTGTCTCTCGTAAGGTAACTCTGATTTTCAAATGAATAAATAAATTAAAAAAAAAAGTCATTGAAGGCACAGCAGGTTATCCTGTATATCATGTGGTTTAACATCCACTCCTTCAATATTCTCTGTGTGTGCCAGACAAGGTAGTGAAAATTGCCTAGAGAACTTGCCGCAAAGGAAATAAGCAATATTCACATTTAGCCCTATTGGAAATCTAAAGTATGTTTGAAAAAATATGTCAGACTACTACTATTATTTTCTTTGGAACACACTGTGATAGTCTTGTACCACTGATTTCTTAGTTGCCCTGGAAAGTAAAATTCTGGTATAACTTTAGATTTTGTTATAAAAATACACTTGCATTGCCAAGGAATATAAAGAACAACTTTGCTTCTTTTATCCTGTATTTTGACCTTGATGAAGATAAAACTAGATTATGCACCCTGAAGTTCTAAACTCAGTCTGAATATTTTGCAGTTCCAGACAGAAAAGTGAGGCAAATGCAGATTTTGGCTGTTTCATGATCATATGCTCATACCACACATGTTATCCTTGACTGTTTTTCCTATTTTGGTAGACTTCCATCTTCAGAGATACTTATGTTTCCCATCCTTGCCCTCCTTCCAGTGCCTGCTGTCATCTATGGGACTATGTGATCCAGGACTGTACTGATTTCCAGGTGTCTCTGAATCCTCAGCTTATCCTCAAATTGATGGTAATTTGCTAAATTCCATAATTTTATGATTTAGGAATTTGGACAGAATTCACTTAGGCTAACATCTGCTCCAAGTAGTATTGACTACGTTCAATGCTTGTGAGTGCACTGGCCAGAAAGATTCAAATAGTTCTACTCATATATCTGATTCCTTAGGAGGAGTACTTGGAAGATTACACAAAGACAGATATAGTCACCGGTGTGTCCTTGCATGCTTCTCTAGCAAGGCCATATCAGCAGAAACAAAAGTTTTCAATGTCATGTCAGGGCTTTCAGAGAGTGTTCCTAGAGGCAAGAGATGGAAGCTGAATAAAGTGCAGCCTTTAGTTATTAATAATATATCAGTAGTGGCTCATTGACTGTGAAGAGTATACCATAGTAATGTAAATATTAATAATCAGACAATTTGTATGTGGACTATATGGGGACTCTCTGTGTCCTTTGACAACTCTCTGTAAATCCAAAACTGCTTTCAAATGTTTATTTAAAGAATAAATTTAGTTTAAGCTATTTAGCCTAAATTCACAACAGCATATATTCGACCATATACACAAAATATTTAGCATTAAGTTTCCTAGTAATGTGTCCACACACAGATCACTTTTGTTGTTATTATTCGATGAAAACTGAATGTTCTCTAAAAAATGCCTTTGTCCTAATCCTTGCAGTCTACTGATCTTTTAAAGTATTATTGTGGATTGTACAAGTGGGCGCTATCTAAATACAATGGCCTTAAAAGCAAAGAGCTTTCTCCATCTGGAATCATAGAGATGCAGTAGAAGTCAGGGAGGTTTAAAGTGTGAAGGAGACTCAGCATCACTGCTAGTGAACAGCATTACAAAGAATGAGAGCAGCATTTAGGAACCGACTCTGGCTCCAGTGGCTCCCAGCTGACAGACACAAGAAAAGGGGAATCTCAGTTATGGAACCATAAGAAATTGAACTTCGTCAACAACCCTAGTGAGCTCAGGAGTAGATTTGTCTCCAGAGCCTCTAGCAAGAAGCACAGACTTGCCCATTACCTTCAGTTCAGCCTTGTGTGAGCAGAACAAAGAAACCAGATGAGACCACCTTACTTCTCACCTCCATACTGGTGAGGAAATATGTAATATAATATATTGTTTTAGGACACTATGTTTGAGGAAACTTGTTATAGCAGACATATAAAATGAATAAGAAACCTTTCATAATCCCTTAGAAATAAATATTACTGGGGCTGTTGCTGTGGTGTAGAGGGTAAAGCCACTGCCTGTGGTATCTGCATCCTATATGGGCACTGGTTCCAGTCTCGCCTGCTCCACTTCTGATCCAGCTCTCTGCTATGGCCTGGGAAAGCAGTGGAAGATGGCCCACGTCCTTGGGCCCCTGCACCTATGTGGGAGACATGGAAGAAGCTCCTGGTCCTGGCTTCAGATCGGCTCAGCTCTGGCAGTTGGGGAGTGAACCATCGGATGGACCTCTCTCTCTCTCTCTCTCTCTCTCTGTCTCTGCCTCTCTGTAGCTCGGACTTCCAAATAAATAATTAATATCTTACAAAAATTAATATTACTTCTTAATACCTCTTAAATGTACACTCAAAAGCAAATATCAAAATGACAAAATGCAAACAACCAGAATAGAAAACATAATTCATGATCTTGCCTTTTCACGCATTTTTTTCTGTCATTCAGAAATACATGGCACATTGGTCCCTTTACTACAGAGGATGACTATTGTTATCCAATGTAGTTTTATGAAGAAACTGTTTCTCTGTATTGCCATCATTAATGAAATTTGCAAACACTAAAACTCTCAATCTATAGTTATTCAATGCTCTAGTTTGAACATGGTCTTTATCGGTTATATTTCTATAAGATTCTTTATTTTCATGTTCAGTACACTAAAAAATTCTTTCTACATGCTTTAATTGAAAAGTTTTTCGCAATACACTATAGCTTTCTGCTCTCTGTCTCACTGATTTTAAATAGCCTATAACCATACCTGCATGTGTTTGTGATCTGCAGAAATGGGGAATGAAATTATATTACATTCTTTGGTAGCAACAATGACTTCCAAAACAGATGTTGATTATGAACTGAATTGTGTCCCTTCCAAATTCATACATTGAAGCCTTAACACTCAATTTAACTGTGAGAAGTGATGACACTTTCAAGGAGGTAATGAAGGTGAAATGAAGTCGTAAGTGTGAGTCCCTAATCTATCAGAAGTGGTATACTTATAAAGTAAGGAGAATAAGCCAGATGTCTCTCTTTCTCTTTCTACATAAATAAATCTTAAAAATGAATAATTCCAAGATTTTTGTTCTGAGCAGGAAGAAAATGGGATTTCCATTTAGAGTTTCTAAAAAAGGTTATTCAAACTGAGCATCACCAATTACAAGCCAGCTTAAGTTAAAAAATATATGAAGGGTAACAATTCATATTAGAGAAAAAGTAGGTAAAAGAGATTGATGTGTTAAGTAGGTATATTATTTATTTTTATCTGTTTCTTTCATGCAGCCTAAATTTGTAAGATTCAGAGAAAATATCCAGTACAATTTCAGTAAGCTCAGCATTTCTCAAAGTTAATAAATACTATACACAGCAGCAGAAACAGCAGCAGTACAAAGATATGATTCAATAATTTTGAAACCCTCGTTAAACTACAGCGGTTCTCAAAGACTGAATATATTTATATGATTTATAAATATTTTAACGGGGGGATTGTCTGTGACATCACTCAAACATTTAAATATAGATATGCATACAAAGTATACAAACCAAACATGGCGATTTCTATCATGAATATCTATCTTTTGATTTCTAGATGTACTATCTAAAATGTGTTTCAATATCGTAAACTTTATCCCCATTAATTTCATTTTAAATAATTCACCTTTATTTCTAAGATGAAAAATAAGCAATTTTGGCACTTTCCCGTGAAATATGAAAATGTGTTTTCTTTAACCACAGGAGTTAAGAACAGAAACATCTTTGTGAAGTGTGGTGGAAAATTAGATTTCCTGGAAGACAGTTTTGCGAATGAAGAAATAGAACCCACATCATTTAGAAATTGTGTATACTGCAAGCAAACAAAAGTATTACCTCAACAGCTTAAGCAGAAAATGATTATTTTTTTCACATGTCAAGAAGTAGGAGTGAAATTGTTCACATCTCTTCAGTTGCTTGGTGATGATGCTAGAGTTTCAGGATCATCTCTTCCACTTCATCCTCAGTAACTTATCCAGGATTGAAGTCTATACTTTCTGATTCTGTATTCAGTTATCATTACACACAGAAATTCTCTGTCTCTGGGAGTGAGACTCACTTATTCAATGAACAGAATTGGTTTTTGGAATAAATCATTTTGCAATATATAAATATTACAAATAAATAATACATATAAATAAATATTTGTGTATTTATATTCAATATATAAATATTGAAATATATACATATAAATTGCAATAAATTAATACAATGGGAGCAAATAAAAAATAAGTAACAGCAACTACCAGTCGCAAACTAGTTAGTTTCTTAGTGACCCATGATTTCATTAGTTTAGAGAGGTGAGGCTTTTTGCAAAAAAAAAGTTTTTTTTTTTTTATTCAAAAAAGCCTCTATTAACAAGTGCTCATGATATGAGTTGGAAAAGATGGAATATTTATACTGAGAAAAACTCAATTTCAAATTCTGAATAGTATACTTAGTAGCTGTATAGTTAACTTTGGTTATTGAATATATCTGAGGATGTTTTCTTATACATAAATTGAGGAGTTTGATTCTATATTAATGTTGGTTTGTCAATCAATGTAAACATCAAATCATTCTTAGGTGTTAAATTTAACTGAAAAGTTATCCCTGTTAAATATAAGAGAGGGAATAAGAGAGAGAGGAGATGTACAATTTGGGACATGCTCAATCGGACTTGCCCCAAATGGTGGAGTTAGAAATGTGTCAGGGGATTCCAATACAATCCCATCAAGGTGGCATGTACCAAAGTCATCTCACTAGTCCAAGTGATCAATTTCAGTTCACAATTGATCATAATGATAGGATTAAAAGTCAAAGGGATCACAAAAACAAGACTAGTGTCTGCTAATACTAACTGATAGAATCAAAAAGGGAGAGAACGATCCAACATGGGAAGTGGGATACATAGCAGACTCATAGAATGGCAGATGTCCTAAACAGCACTCTGGCCTCAGAATCAGCCCTTAAGACATTCGGATCTGGCTAAAGAGCCCATGAGAGTATTTTATGCATGGAAAGCCAAGACATTCTGGCAAAAAAAAAAAAAAAAAAAAACAAAAAAAAAAACCTAAATGAAAGATCTCTGCGAGTGAGATCCCAGTGGAAAGAACGGGGACCATCAAAGAAGGAGGTACCTTTCTCTGAAGGGAGGAGAGAACTTCCACTCTGACTATGACCTTGTCTAAATATGATCAGAGTCGGTGAACTCCAAAGGCTTCCATAGCCTTGGCAACTCATCACTAGAGCCTAGGGAGATTACTAACACCATAAACAAGAGTGTCAAATTGTTAAGTCGACAACAGGAGTCACTGTGTACTTACTTCTCATGTGGGATCTGTCCTTAATGTGTTGTCCAATGTGAAGTAATGCTTTAACTAGTACTGAAACAGTATTTTACACTTTGTGTTTCTGTGTGGGTGCAAGCTGATGAAATCTTTACTTAATATATACTAAATTGACCTTCTGTATATAAAGATAATTGAAAATGAATCTTGATGTGAATGGAATGGGAGAGGGAGCAGGAGATGGGAGGGGTGCGAGTTGGAGGGAAGTTATGCGGGGGGAACCATTGTAATCATAAACTCTACTTTGGAAATTTATATTTACTAAATAAAAGTTAAAAAATCAAATCAAGTAAACTTAATGGCTTATACTATATTGAATATAAATGCCTATATGCTATTTCTGGCAGAAATCACAAGTCTATCACTAGAAGTATGAAATTGTACATTCATGAGGTCGTAGTATTTCATTACAGCTGGAGCCAAAGCTTTAAACATGGGAATGGCATGATTAGGGTAGCTTAGTAGAAATAGAAATGAGACTCTTCAGGGGCTGGCTCCGTGGTGCAACAGGTTAATCATCCACCTGCGGTGCCACCAACCCAGGTGGGCATTGGTTCTAGTCCTTGATCCCCCTATTCCAATCCAGCTCTCTGCTACAGCATGGGAAAGCAGTGGAAGATGGCCCAAGTTCTTGGGCCCCTGCACCCACATGGGAGACTGGGAAAAAGCACCTGGCTCCTGGCTTCAGACTGGCGCAGCTTCGGCCATTGCGGCCATCTGAGGAGTGAACCAATGGAAAGAAGACCTTCTCTCTGTCTCTCCTTCTCATTGTCTGTAACTCTACCTCCCAAATAAATAAATAAAATCTTAAAAAAAAGAAATGAGACTCTTCAGCAATCACAAAGCATGTAGCCTGATAGACTGCCTTTTCCAGTTGTGGAACACCAACATTTCTTGTTTCACATATTCTTCTGCAGCATAGAGATTTGTCAACAAGATATGCTGTCTTCATAATCAGTATTGAAACTTGGAGGAACGTTTGACTACCTCTACAGATGAAATACAGTGAGAATGACGCTACATCACTTTCATGAGTAGTTCATAAAAGGCAATGCATCTCCCTTGTGACATACTTTCCCTCTTGGGACATTCACCCTGAACTTAACTACCAAGTTATCAGGAATGCCAGATGGCATTGAAAGACCATCTGTCTGTGCCCCAGCTAATTGCATAAGGTAAAGCTGGAATCACTGACTAGACATATTCATATAGTTTCAGTTTTTAAAGGCACTATTGTTGGGTCCCAGTGGATTTAATGCTAAGCTGTCCTCACTGTATTTCCTGAGATGCAGGTTCCTGAACACAGTATTTAAAACCACTAATTTTTGTGATGATTTATCACACAATAATAGATTACTGGATTGTATATGAAATTCTTACTATTACTAACCACTTCTTTTACCAAGGAGGGGTATGACTCACCAATATAACCAATGTTGAAGAAATCCTGAGTCCAGGACTGTCTTCACAGCACATTTTCCCAGCTTGAAAACTTTCATAATTTCTCTGAAGTAATGGACCATTATTTAAATATCACATTAAATTGTGATTGTACCTTAGTTGTGGTAGGATTTTGAGCAGTATTGATATCTGATATCAAAGACAAATTAAATCAGAGCTTCATGAAGAAATTGTTACCTTAATATAGCCACAGGTGTCCCAGTTAAACTTGTCATTTTAAACCATAACAATAACTCAAGGTTTGGTAAGAGTTACTTGCTTTTTCTGTATTCCAAACTTAAGTAGGCAAATTTTGAAATAATATGTAGTCATGATTAAGCAAAGTCAATAGTTCTTTAATTGTAAGAAAACTCTAAGAAGCACAAATTTTCTCCAACTTCTTCGTAAGGTAAGCATAGCAAGATTTTTACATTTTTAATTTAAAGGCTTAAATATTCTTTTCCATTTAATTCAAATATCCTTACCTGGGATATTGAATTGCATCTTCAGAGTATTTCTATGACAAATATCTTTTATAATACAGTTCTATTAGTGAGAAAAGAGACACAATATAAAATGACCTAATCACCATAACTTGATGGGAATAAAGTCTCAGAGAAAAGGCGTGGTGCCAATCACTTTAACTATCACAGTTAGTGTACTCACCATTGGCTCTGTTGGTGCTAGGGAGCTTCACAACATTATCTCCAATGCTCATTGAAAAACTGTCCGTGTAGTATGATTTCACTCAACTATATGGAGAGAAAGAGCTCAGAAAGTTTAGCTCATCTACTATTGTACTTGCACAACTAAGAAATGGCAGAATGAGACACATAATCATATTCTGCCATCATTTTGTACAGCTAATGTTATGAAGGACCTGAATCAATATATTTCCAACTCCACTCATGTCAACAGAGGATTCAACATGTCCTTCTTCTTGGTTGCAGGCCATAAACAGCTCTTTAAAAATATTCTTTACACTTATAAAATATTGTGCCCAGCTAGTAAAGTGTTTAAACACAGTAGGTTGGTAAATTGTGTATTTGTCTGGTACACAAAGTTGGGACAATTATTACTTCCAGCACATTGTGAACATATTTTTGCCAAGGTGTCCTAATAATACACAGAGTGTCAAGCACCTGTAAGCCCATAAAGTCAGAGATGTATTGGCTTTCCAGGAGGATAATTCACTAAGCCAAGCAGAAGCTGAGATCTGGAAGACTAAAAAGAAATTCATCTCTCCTTTGTTTAAATAAGATGTCCTAGAGGCTTAAGGCTACTCAGAAAAGTAAGAATATTCTGGAAGCTGTCAGAGAAGAACCAATATTCTCTGTACACTCTGACTGCTCTTGTTTATTCAGCTCTTTTAGGCTGGGGTGTGTTAGTGCAACAAACATAATTTATCAATGATAATTTTAAATATTGTTTTACTAAGGGCAGATGTTGAGGTACTAGGAAATACAATATTCTCCAAAGTGACTGAAGCTAAATGCATGAATAAATATTTTGATTTTCACCAGAGATATATTTTTATAATACAGTGTGCACCAAGTAGTTTGAGAAAATGCTTTCAGAAGCACATACAGAGTCACACACACACACACACACACACACACACACGAAACAGATTCATTGATTTTTGAGACCTAAACATTGAAGTACTTTTCACAGTTCTTTTCCTTAAAATTTTAATAAGTTGTTTTGTAATGAAATTACAGAAAACTGTGTATATTTGTCCATATTGGCATTTTACAGAGAAATTAGGTTTGTATCTAAGTATGGACATTAACAATATCCATTTTAGGGGCTGGCATTGTGCCTTAGTGTGCAAAGCCTCCTACTGTGATCTGGTATCCCATGTAGGCACTGGTTTGTGTCCCAGCTGCTCCACTTCCAAGCCAGCCCCTCACTAATGTCCTGGGAATAGCAGTGGAAGATAACCAGGTGTTTGGCCCCCTGACACCTATGAAGGAAACCCGGAAGAAGCTCCTGACTCTTGGCTTCAACCTGGCCCAGCTTGGGTATTGAGGCCATCTGGAGAGTGAAACAGCAGATGGAAGATTCTCTCTCTCTCTCTCTCTCTCTCTCTCTCTCATCTCTGTGCCTTTCAAACAAATAAATCTTAAAAAAAAAACTACTAAGGAACAAAGTCCACCCCTCACAGACAGTTTTACTTTGTTGTGTCATTGAACTGTTAGTTACAAGTTGGGAAGAAATGTCTCAGAATGTAGAACAACATGAAAAACATAGGTATTCACCCTTGAAAATACATTTCAGAACACAAAGTACTAGCGCTTTCACACATACAAGAAAGAATACTACTTTCAGAAGAAGCACTTTTTCAACACATATTTGTCAAGAGTAAAAAAAAAAAAAAGAATTTCTCTTTCATACCTCTAGGCTATTTCCTGACAGAACCCACTGAATTTTATTTTTCATTAATTTAATTAATATGTTTATTACTCAAGCCTCTATGCCTGTATGTATAATAACAAATGGAGTCAGGGAAAGAAATAAGCCCTGCATCCTACCTTCAACATGCTCTTCAAACAACAGAAGTAATTGTGCACTAACTCCCCTTGTAGGACCTCTGTCATTAATGAGTTGTAATATGAGAATTAACTGCAAAACTTGTTCTCAAACTGTACTTTATATGTTGTCTGTGTGTGTGGGTACAATCTGTTGAAATCTTACTTGGCATACAGTTGGTCCTATGTATATAAAGTTAAACTAAAAATGAACCATAATGAAGCATGGGATTGGAGAGAAAGCAGGAGGTGGGACGGTAGTGGGGATATGGGGGCGGGTATGGGAGGAAGAACCACTATATTCCTAAAGTTGTACCTATGAAATATGCATTGTTTAAATAAAAGCTTTAAAAAACATGCTCTTCAACCCAAAATAAGAAAAAGAACAGAACAATACTAATAATAAAATTGATTTAATGCTATGTGTACAAAGTTGAAAATGAGGATGATGTAGGAGGCATTTGTTATTGTAGTAGTATAAAAGTTCTAGGAAATGTTTCAAAGAGGAGAGAGAAAAATTGAGGATTATAGGGAGCATAAATTGAAATTGACCAAAATAAGAAAATAGTTAACAACATCCCAATCTATGTGCTGGACATGATGTTGTTATTCTCACTTTAAAGATAAATAAGTAGAAGTATATGTGTTTGGAGTAGTAATTGAGACCCCCACTCTGGGTGTCTGCATCCCATTTGAGGGAGCCTGGATTGGAAACCAGGCCCTGCTTCTAACTCCAGATTCCTGCTTATGTGTACCCTGGGAAGAGGAGATGACCACTGAATTAGCTGGGTCACTGTCACCCATATGAAAGACCAAGAATGTGTTTCATCTTGCTCAGCCCCATAGTTTTTGGCATTTGTGGAGTGAACCAGCAGATGGAAGTTTCTTTCTCTCTCTCTCTTTTCTCTCTCTCTCTCTCTCTCTCCCTCCTCCCCCTTTGTATCTCTGCCTCTTTCAGATAAAATTAATAAAAAATATAAAGATTTTCTTATCAAGATAACAGAAATTTGTAAAAAATATATTTAAGGAGGTGATAAGGTGATGGGATTGAGATTTGAATACAAGTATCCAGGAATCAAAACCATTACCACTGATTACCAAATTTTGCTGTCTAATATGGGAATCTTCAAAAGGAATTTCTGGCAGAAATCAAATGTGCAAAATCTAAAATTGCAAACATTTTGCTTTTAGAGTCCAACATACATGAATACTACTGGAGAAAATATTTTGGCATGGATAGAATTGGTTAGAAGAATTAAAAATGAGACCAAAGTAGAGCACATGAGTCATGCAGCTGGAGGACACAGAAATATTGATCTGAGGGCAAGGGGACCTGATGAGACCATCACTACCATCAGGATTGGAGGATAATTGCAGTCTCAGGTAAGGTAGTTTACAATAAGGACAGGGTAGAAGGTAGAGTTAGCAATGTACTGAGGGAGATGACTGAACAGGATTTTGAGATATATTGCTTATGCTTTGTGAAAAAGAAAATATAGAGTTATTCTCAGGTCTGTAATCTGATAAATTTAATATGGCCCCAAAACTGTATGGTGGAAAATATACATTTCTAAGAAGGAATTGTCTTTAAGGGTTTCTTGTGTATCTTTAAGATTGGTAAATACCTAGTCAATTCCTTAGTCATCAGATGAGGTTTCTCTGAGGCATCCAAGCTACTCTCTTAATCCTTTATACTACCATCAATCACTGCATTCCTAAATGCAGGCAAAAAGATTCTTTATCATATTCTCAGCATACGAAAATGAGAAAAATAAAATTCTGTTTTTTTTTTTCTCTTCAAGTTCTGTGAAAAGTGTCGTGTGTGTGTGTGTGTGTGTGTGATGGAGAGAGAGGGGGGAGAGAGAGAGGGAATGAATCAAATTTCTGTACAGACATTATCTCATAAATAGCCATATCACCTCTTAGGATTAGCAGAAGAACAATTTATCCCTGTTTTTAAAAGGCCTTGAAATGTTAAGTGATTTTTCTGGAGTGCTGGAAATAGAAATTCAGTGTCTGGAGTTTTTCCTTAGTATCAGCAACTAATTAAACTCTTCATGAAATGGTATGAATTAAACATCATTCTACAACCTATCTTAAAACAATAATACTAAAATTATATATTTCAGAAATTTCTTACATCTGAAAATGTCATAGAATTTGACCTTATAGCCTTCATAATGCCTACAGGAAGAACTTGGGTTAAAATCTGCATTGTACATTCTATGAGGACATTTATCATTGTGGGAAGAAAAGATTAATTTTCACTCTCTCCTCCCTCATAGCATTTTTATCCCCCTATTTAATATTTTGGGTTCCTCAATCACTTTATCTCCTTTCTGAGCTCTAGCTATTCTCACTTAGTGTCTTTGTCTTATTTCTTCTCAATTCTGTAACTTCTGAAATTTAACAATGTCCCAAGGCTTATATTCTTGAATATTCTCTCTCTCTTCTAGCTAGCCTCACGTATTAGGTGATCAAATTGGTCTCTTGAACTTAAATACCTTTCATGTCTGATCAGCTTAATATGCATTTAAAGCCTACTTCTCTTCCCAGATTTCCAGAAATACATAGGCATTGCCCATTGGTGTTCTTATGTTATATCACCTAGGCTAGCCACAAACTATATTATCCAAAAGTATCTTTCAGTGTGTTTCCAAGTTAAATGCAAAAAGACAAAAATCAACTATTGGTTTTGAAATATTGAGTCAGATTTTTATTTTTGCCTCATATCATTATAATTTCCTTAAGTGTGCTTTTCTAAGGAACAAATTCAACAATGACACATTGTTGCAACCTGTCTCCTTTCACAGGATTAAAGAGAAACATAAGTTGAAAAAAGGGATGTTATAGTATTATTTTGCACTTGAGTGAACTAAGACTACCAGGAAATTTAGCACATTTAAAACAACACTTAAAGTGTCCTTCACTTTCCATTTCCTTCCTACCACACTTGGATGTGCCAGTTATAAATTATGACCTATTTATGCCAGATAGTAAGCAATATTTTAGAAAATTAAGTATATTCAAACAAAGGAAAATTGGAACTTTTTTCACAGTCTTCAATGGCATAGAGGCAATGAGTAATAGATGTCCTTGAAATCTGGGAGGCTAGGTCGACGTGAATTGATAAAATGGGAATGCAGTGGGGAAATAGATGGTAACTGAAAAATAAAACTAAAGTAATATTGACCTTATGTGTTCTGCAAAGTCCTAATCTG